GGGAGGCCGCGAGGGATGGGGGTGGACAGGTGGGCAGGAGCCAGGCTGCCAGGGAGTCTGGGCTTGGTCTAAGAGAAGGGAAGCCACTGGGGGCGGTTTAAGCAGGGGGAGATATGATCCGTACATCCCGGGTTTTCCCCATGTCAGACCAGCCTCTCCATCTTTCTGTGCAAGTTAATGCATCGGAGCAGAAGGGGGCAAAACCTGCTGGGCCTCCTTCAGACAATCTGGGCAGGAGCCCTTGTGACCCACAAGGTTTTCGGGTTACTCCCATGCTCTGGGCCCCTTCCCACCTTCTTCCTGGTAATAAGAACGGCTGGCCAGAGCAGGACATGAAGGCGGTCGGCCAGGGCTGCGGGAGGGCTGCGAGGGTAGGTTCGGGTGATGGATGCAGTGAGGTCTGCTGGGAAGTAGCTCTTCAGCTGTGAATGGCCTCTTGGGGTAGATATTTCGAGATTACGCATCTAGTGTCATTAGAAAACACAGCGATAAATTAGGCTGCTCAGAAGCATGGTGTGTGTAATAATTAAGTAATAAAAGTCACCGCAGGGGTAAAGGAGCTGGGAAACAAAGAGCCACTGTTGTCTATGCACCACAGGCTGCTCTGGGAAGGGACCTCTGAGTGTCAGCCGCATTACAAAGCTGCCCGACCTCCACTGACATAGAACCCCAGCTCAGCCCAGTTCCCAAAGAGAATCTGCTGTAGGGAGGCAGGCTGTACCAGGAGCACAGACGGGGTGGGGTCCAGTCAACCTCTACATCTTTCTCTGAGGCCACAAGTGCAAACGCTTGGAGGGGCACGGCAGATAATGGGGCTAGCCTGGTCAAAGGACGATAGGGAGGGGTGAGGACTAGGGCTAACAGGGCAACCAGGAATGCAGGCCCGCACTGTCAGAACTCGCAAATGTTCAACGCAATCTAGAAAGTCGCGTTTTAAATGTAACACTTCCCAATTTTTAAGTGTTGACAATGATTTCAAAGTCTTTTAAGACCGCTGTGCAGGCCAGATGAAACACACAGCCAGAGGATCACAGTTCGCAGTCGCTGGTCCTCGGCTGTATGATCCTGGCGTGTTGGTT